GGGGCTCATACAACTCTTATCACAATCCATACGTACATCCATTGTGTCAAGCACATTTGTACATTTGTTGCCATCATCATTCTCAAAAGTACTGCCTAAATTAGAGGGGAAAAAACCTATTTGGTGCCCCCTGACAACTAAAACTTTTTGTACTATGGCCCATCATCCAGGATAAAGTATAAGTATCTGCTTTCCCAGCCTTCTGCAGGGGGTGGTATTGCCCACTCTGGGAAACCATGATCTGTAAGGACCAAAATCTGGTAAACCTATCTAGAACACTTACTAGGAAAATACACATTCACGATTTTGCATGGAAATTTAAGGCTTCATGTCCCGCTACTTCTTAATCCTATTCACATGCCAAGTTGCAAAACTCTGCAAGAGGAAGTACTTGCAAAAACTTAATAACTTTAAAGAAAGTTCACATTTAAGTGAGATGCAGCTGGGTGGGCACCATGGCCGGGAGCACCAAGACCAAGGTGGCGAAGCACAAGATTCAGGTTCTGCAACAACAGGCTAGTGATGCTGAGGGGAGGGGCGAGTGCCTCCAGCAGAAGCAGAAGGGGAAAGGCAGCCCAGAACTGGCTGAGGCTCAGGTGGCCTCCTTGAACCGTTGGATCCAGCTGGTTAAAGAGCTGGACCTCGCTCAGGAGCGCCTGGCCACCGCTCTGTAAAAGCTGGAGGAGGTAGAGAAGGCTACTGATGAGAAAGGCATGAAGCTTATTGAGAACAATGCCTTAAAAGGTAAAGAAAAGCTGGAACTCAAGGAAATGCAACTCAAGGAAAATGAAGCACACTGCAGAAGAGGCTGATGGGAAGTCCAGGGAGGTAGCTCATAAGTTGGCAATTACTGAAGGGGACCTGGAATCCACAGAGGAGAGAACTGAGCGAGCAGAGTCCCATTGCTGAGGGATAGATGAGCAGCTCAGATTAAAGGACCAGAACATAACGTGTTTGAGTGCTGCTGCAGAAAGGTTCTCCAAAAGGAAGAGGAAAACGAGGAAGAGAATCTTACTGATAAGCTCATGGAGGCAATACCCATGCACGAAAAGACAACTGATGATTTGGAAAATAAACTCTAATGCACTAAAGAAGAGCACCTCTGTACACAAAGGATGCTGGACCAAACGCTGCTGGACCTGAATGCAATGAAGAACACCCCATCCCCACCCTACCACTCTCACCCTGGGGCCAGCCTGCCCAAAGCTGACCTTTAAAATGAGGACTGAGTTTTAACTGGAAGGCTGCTTTCTCCTTGCATCAGCCACCCCAGCCCACCCTTTCCTCTGCCAAACTCTCTCTGCCTCCCCCCAGAAATCCCAACTGGACTAGGGACTGAGCATCCTTGGGAACAATGTTTACGGAAACATCAGCACAGTACAAGTGTCTTTAGAAGTATGTTGTGATGTATGCATTTTGTAATTACGATTTTTTTTGTTACAGCTACCATACATAAAACATTCCAAATTAATGCTACTGCTCTGAAGCAGCCCTTGAATCCCTCTTTATTTTTGGAAGGCAATTTTCTAGTTTAATGCATATCATCTTCTCCAGAGAGAATAGCCAAAAGTCTGAGGCTGCCTTACTGAGAGTCTGACACAGTCCAGCCACAACCCCAGCTTCAGCCAAACAAAAAGGTGACTCCACGAAAGGTTAGCCAGAAGGGGAAAAAAAGGTGGACACATTGAGCCTCTACTCAAGTACTCCCTTAACACAAGAACACTTTGTTCTAGTAACCTTACATTCCATGATGCTCACCTTCCCGACAAGATTGCTGAAGACAAAGTGGGTGCATAAGCAAATGTGGTGAAGAAAGCTGATGGTGCCCGGCTATCAAAAGAGATAGCATCTGGGGTCTTAAAAGCTTGAAGATGAAGAAGCAGCCATCTAGCTGAGAAACAACAAAGCCCACGTGGAAGAAGCACACCAGTCTGTGCGATCATGAGGTGTCGATGGGATCAGGTATCAGGCATCTAAGACCCAGAATAAAAAATATTATCAATGTGAATGAGGGGGGAGCATGAAGTGGAGAACCCAAAACCCATCTGTAGACAACTGGACATCCCCTTACAGAAGGGTCACAAGGAAGAGATGAGCCGCTCAAGGTGCAGTATAGCACTGATGAAGCATATAACTTTCCTCTAGGTCTTTAATGTTTCCTCTCTCCTCCTCCCCCCCACTATCATGACCCCAATTTTACCTTACAAGTCTGGCTAGACCAGAGCATGTAGCATGTACACAGGTACACAGATAACAGCTGGGAACACAGGGAATCCAGGACAGATAAACCCCTCAGGACCAATAATGGCAGTAGCCATATCAAGAGGGGAAGGGGAAGGTGGGGGGAGAAGACCAATCACAGTGGTCTACCTACAACCCCCTCCCAGGGGGATGGACAACAGAAATGTGGCTGAAAGGAGACATCGATCAGTGTAAGACATGAAAAAATAATAATTTATAAATTATCAAGGGTTCATGAGGGAGGGAGGGGAAAAATGAGAAGCTGATACCAAGGGCTCAAGTAGAAAGAAAATGTTTTGAAAATAATGATGGCAACAAATGTAAAAATGTGCTTGATGCAATGGATGGATGTATGGATTGGGATAAGAGTTGTACGAGCCCCCAATAAAACGATTTAAAAAATATAATAATAAAATAAATAAATAATCAGAAATTTTTTCAAAATAAGAATGGGGGATAAAAAAAGAACAGATGTTAGTGCCGTTTTGTAGTATTAAAAGACATTGTTGTGTCTTTTAAAAAAAAACTCCTCTTCCCACTCAGCTTCCCCTTTTAGAGAAGTTTCTTTGAGGTATATTGGATAATCCTGTAGCGTATTGGCTTAACATGTACTCTCCTTCGGTGTGGTCTCATTGGAGTGCCAACTGGCAGAGGGAGAAACCAATAGTACAACTGTTTGATATTGAAAATTGACAAGTATCTTTTTGAAATAAAGAAATCATTCCTCAAAAAAAAAA